TATTGTGTGTATGCAATAGGATCAGTTGTTTCATCGAGAATATAATTTATAATTGCTCGAGAAATGTGTACGTCATAAATCACTAGAGATTACGTCGTTTCGGGTGTACACTGTACMTACCATTCGTCTGCCAGTCCACCCTGCTATCGGCATTATAATATTATATTTTTGCGGTAAACGAACGCGTTTATGTCATACCGCACACGGATCGATACGCTTCTTTCACATTCAAAGTTTACGGCAATCGTGTCTGCCCGAATGGTTTTTGAAGTGTACAGGTGTTTCGATAATTAAGTGAGAAACTGTTGACTACACAAACCGAACGTTTGCTGGAAATTTCTCCGATAGTTTACGCCAACGTACGCCTTCTGTACGCCTTTTTTCTTTTATTTTTTTTTACCGACTTGGTGGTCCACGAAAACCCTGCAGCGCCCGATTCCGTGGAAACCGTGTGCAGCTGAGGCGTCCGTCCTGAACGCGTTTTCTGCTTGCTGGAAACGCGGATCGCGTCTCAACGATTTATTATATAGTATTATTAGGTATGCGTTTTAATCTTCTGGTAGCACAACGAAAAAGTGTTYGCCACAAATAACCTATTCCTTATCCTATAGTGCAACAGTCCGAGATAATTACGATCGCAAACGGTCAAGGTCTTCCAAAAATATTTATGTAAAAACGCTTRTCGATTACCCACWCGCCTAYCCATTACTGTCAGAAACTCAGAAATYGAGTTGCAAATGTCACATAACACATTAGCCCCCCCTCCCCAAAAAAAAACCATACAGATTTTTAGTTTCGTCGGATCGAAGCTCGCCGAAATATTAATGGATTTCCGCCTACGGTACACTAGCTATCGTTCGGTCGTTACGATACGCGAGAAAATACTCGGAGGGAAAATATAGCAATGCATGACTTTGGGTTAACCGCACGCACGCGGATCGTGTGGTTTCTGTTAGTTTACGATTACGAAACGATAATGTCATACTGTCGTCTATTATTGTTGAGAAATTTAATAAAAAAAAAAATAAAAAAACGTTTTTTTTTCCGGCGACGACATAATCGGTTGGATTCGATCGCGCGAATCGGCCAAGGTTCATACCGATCGGAAAATATCTGCTGCAGAGAATAACGCGTGGCCAATCCGTCTGCCGCTGATGCGGAGTTGGTGTTCTTAACCGATGTTTCTTCATACAAACGGTTCGTCCGATCCCCAATTTACGATAATAATTAGATAATGGTTATTTAACACATGGTGTCTTCTTAGTTCTTACTATATTAAGTCTAAGTAGCTCTCATCAATGTCGTCATTTACGTGTACAATGCTAATGTGTACGATATTATTGTAGTGCGATCACCAATAAAAGAAATCAGTATAATATAGTTTCCCTACACCTCTCAGAAATTACTGTATAACTTCTCGTCCAGAACGAAAATAATATACGATTAATAATAATGATTAAATGCATTGTCTACCCCTGTCGTCCCACTTTTATAATGTTATAATGGTATTTATTATTTAATATTATTACTGATAACTATTTTAATTCYCTAAACATTATTGTCCGTYTACATAGTATTAGTAATTRGTTCAATACTAATATACTATAAATATTTATTATGATGATTTCCATTTTAATACGTTATAAWACTACTCAATRTAGGTAGTTAATATTTTAAGTTGTTACGGTTTTGGACTACCCGTGTACAGTCTTTRGTGTGCTGCAAGATACGAGTACCTATATTGTATGGTTTTGACTTTTTGAGTTTCATTCTCAATGCGAAGTACAGAATTTCTTCATAATAAAATTTAAATAAATAGTAATATTCTACGAATATCGACGGCTGAGCGTGACAGACCAGTATGCAAATAGCTGTGGATTTTTTWTTATTATTTAAAACTATTATTATTATTATCATCATCATTTTCGTCACTGTCGTCGTCACATTGCCGATGAATGTGATGAAAAAATTGCAAACTAGAATTTTACGTAAGTGTTATGCTGTTTTTCTGGCTATCTCATWATATTTGTGAAGCTCCGCAAACATTTATGCTATTATTTTATCATAATATAATTTTTTTCACTTACACGYAATCGAAAACTTGTGTAATATAATATTATCAAGTGTATTTATTTAAATAAGTGAATCTCTTGCGTACTCCGTACGGCGTTATTTCCATCGATACCTTAATTATTAATGTTTATCAAGTACGAGAGTTTTGCAGACATGGACCAACAATCATTAATTATAATATCGTATTATATTTTATCTATTATAGGTGCAGACCGAGTTCGCGAGTCGTTCTTTTTCAAAGTGTAAACCTATAATACAATAACACTGTTTTGCGTGTAGGCATCCACACCTGCAAAATGGTACACATTGGACTTTGTCGTGATGGTGTGATGTAATTTGAAATCATTCACTAGTTTTAATATTATTATTACTGAGGTGTACTGCGCGCCCCGCCTCCCCTCTCCCCGCCGATAACTCTGACCAACTACTGCACGAAAAGCGCCTATGACGCTGAAGAGAGTTAAACGTACTTAGGGCTTATTCATAATATATTATTATGTATTATATACCTTGAAGGTGTACTCAACAACAATATTTTAATTCGTAACGAGGTATATTATATTGTCCATGTGTATTAGGTGGGGCACTGGGGCAACACGCACATGTACCCGTATCGTGTTTCAGAGCGATAAGATTCGTCGGCCTTTATCGAATTACGATTGTCGGACGAACGCCGTTTTCGCTTCCACTCCGTTCGACAGTCGTACAGAACGCTCCGCCGCACGCGGACATTCATCAGTGGTCACTGCAGCAGCTCGCCAAAAAAAAGACTGCACCCGCGTGACACTGTCGACCCGTACCCCCCCAAAAAAATTTTAATTTTAAAATCTTTGCCGTCGTCTGAATATTTGAACTCTTCTCTCCCCCCACACCACTTTCACCCTCGACTCTTGCGCGTTACGTTTGCAAAAATGTACGGAAATCGGTTCTGTTTTTTATTTTATCAAAATGTTTATGATATTATCTAATAATAACGATATAACATTCAGCTGATGGACGACATATTTTTCGTTTCAGTGTGCATACGCGCAGCCCAAGACAGTAGAAATGACAGACAGCATGACGCGGAACTTCAATAATTACCCTTCCACGGCAAAACCAGAACAACAAGTCTCCAAAAAAGTGAGTTTCCGCTTGCAACTAATATTATTACTATATTATTATTATGCTTGCTATACGAATAATATAATATTATATCTGCAGTGGGGCACCGAACCCACGTCGAGGTCTAGTCAGTTATTAAAGAAATATAGATATATAATCCTGATTGATTCCGATTAATCGACTCGAGGAGTAATAGTTCTCAAATCTAGCGACAATATAATATTAACTGTAGTTAGTATTATATTATTTAAACTTGCCTCTTATTGTCTCGGCGTAGTCGCGTAGGTTYAAACGTTAGGAAATACAGCGACGGGTGGGCGATACTAGACAAAACGCTTGGACTAGGTTGAGCATAGATCGAGTCCGAACCTAACCTATCCGGCATTGCGGCTGCGAGTCGCGCTCTTGCGGCTTACAGTTTTTTCTAAAAGTTTTTATAGCTGTTTGTTATTTATTAGTAGGTATTTAGAGGTCACGTGTGTATTGAAGGTTTTTTATATTATTGTACTTCTGCAGTCGCGTCCTTTACTCCGTGGTTGACGCTATGCGTGCCAAAAAAAAAA